ACTCACGGACCACGAGATCGTGACCTGGCTGAAGCCGGACGCTTAACCGACTGCGCCACCCAGGCGCCCCTAAACTTCTGCTTTTTATACATGTTTTGCAAAAATGAATGCCCCAAATCATAGTGTTTTTTATTGAATTTTATTATAAGCACAGTTTTGTATTTTCTTTCCCTTCTACTTTAGACAGTTAATCAGCTGGCCCATGCCCTTCATATGGATAAAGACTTGAAAGCTGGCTGTCTTGTGCATGTATTTTGGCCAAAGGCAAAATGTGCCCTCTTGAGAGATGACCTGGTTTTAGTGGACAGGTAAAATTACATACATATGAATTGGTTTTCTCCTTTAAAGATTCATTTAATAGAATAATACTGCTTGTTTTAACATGTAACACATAAAAATTTAAGTGCTCAATTGCTGCTTTGTCCTCATTTGCTAGATTGTTAAAGAATACATAAGGTGTTGGTTTTGTTTTTTATTGGTTACATAAAGTGCCAGTTTCCCAGTCTAATTCTATTACAAGAAATTTCAAGGATAGCCACTTTGTTTTCCCCCTCTATATTGACTGTAGTTTGGATAAATAGCTGGACCTTGCAGACTGTCTAATTCTAAATAACTAGAGAGATAAAGATAACTCTGATAGGTAAAGTTTTTAACTAGTAATAAATTCATTCTTGAGACCAAGTTTCCCAAAATAACTTTCCTGGACAGTTCACATAACTTTTCATGGTTCAAGAATTAAGTACTTTGGGAATTTTTTTTCAACTCTGCTGATTAGTCTTCATTTACTATGTGTTTTTTGCTACATTGGTGTTTAGTAAAATGATAATGTATATCTAAGCAATGTCCTACCAAAAAAGGTAGTTAAATGATTTTTTTAAAGTTTTGGTATGCTCTTTTGTTTTCTTCAGTTAAAATTTTAGCATTCTCTGGAAACCATATTGGTTCTGGTGATGAGCTTTTAATTTTGCTTTATTTCATGACCAGACTGTATCCATGACCCCCGCCTGTCATCTTGCCACCTTGTTACAGGGATACATCAAACCAGTGTATGGACAGTTGTGTTATAATTTTTATGGTATCAATTATATATTAAACTTATGCCTAGCAGAGGGTGTTTTATTCTTTATGCTCACGAGCACTGAAGTATTTACTGAGCTGTACTGGACATGGGTGCTTGCACCTTCATTTTTGTTACCTATTTGCCTGTTTTTTTTCAGTACTTATTTTTCATCCTTTCAGAGCATAAAGATTTGAAAGATTATAATAGTGACCATGTTACTTGCTTTATCAAAAATTACAAGGTTGTCTTTAGTAAGTAAAATTGTTTAGCACTTGTTGTTAATTGGCTAGGCTCTGAGAGTTCCTTGTCAGCAGAATAAATATGGAAGTTTATAAAACAGAGACTGAGCTTGCCACAAATGCTCTCTTATACATGAGAAAGTAAATCTCTTAGGCTTTGTGCTGAAAACTGGTAGAAATAGTTTTTAGACTTCAAACAGTTTATAAAAGTTAAAAGAATTCTTTCTATAATCACATTTTTTTTTTTTTTAAATATTGTTATATAATACAAGTTTATCTTATTTCCATTAGTCCGGGTACAGATGTCACTACAGAGCTGGATAGCTGGATTGATAAATTTTGCTTAGATGCTGATGTCTTCGTTTTGGTTGCAAACTCTGAATCAACACTAATGAACACGGTAGGATTTAATCATTATTATGTTTGAATGGTAGGAAATGAAATGGTGTCTGTTAATTCTGAAAAGTAAGGGAAATCCAGATCCTGGATTCAAAAGAAGCTCTGGTATCAAGGGAGAGCAAAGGAGTTTGTGTTTCCATGGGACTGAAGAGCTGATTGTGGTCTTGAGTGTTCCCAGAGTATCCTTGGGAATCTAGGGCATGATGGCTCTAGTTGCTAGTAAATCTTTATATTCAAGGTGTGATACATGTATGTTGTTGACATTGATTGTGGTTATTTGCCAGTTTCGGAAGGAATGGGCACCAGAATTGTTAGGATGATGACTTAAGCCTTTTGAATAATGTTTAACACTCCCACCTCACCACTGCCCCCCAACCCTCATGTCTGGCAGACAAGGCTTTTCATATTTTTAGTTTTGTCAGCCTTTTCCAGCTTTACCCATGTACACACTAGGTTCCAGTTTACCTATATGCATTCTAAAGTGCTGTCAGACTTCACAGATTTTTGAGGATGTCTAGAGCCAGACTCATCCCAAATAAACTCGAGTTTATAGGTATCTAATATCCAAACCTATAGTATGATTTTCTTAAAATTGTTATTCCTGGAAAGTATATAAATGGGCAAAGATCATTTATAACCTAGGTGTTACCAGCCCGACCTCTGTTTTGTCACTGTTAGTTGTGTGCCCTCCAATAATCTGTTATCACATAGACCAGGCTACTCTGACAGCACAGTTTATAGCCTGATGATTAAAAAAACAGATCTATGTTTAAAATCTTTGTTAGAGTTAACTCCATTATTTGGGTAAACAAACTTTGATGTACATTCTGACTTCTCCATCTTTGTTTATGTTCTTCTTTGCACACAGTTCTCCTGCTCCCAGCTTCTCATCTTTCAGAAAGCCATTGTCAGTACTTTTAAGCTCTTTATCTTTATCACCACTTTCTTAATGGAGCTTTTTCTAATTCTAGCTAGATAGGGTGTCTCTTCTTTGAATAAGCATAGCATGTATTTGCAGCATTTATGGCACATACCTTTCTCTGTTGTTTATTATGATGTACACAGGTCTTAAATTGTTATTAATTTACTTAGTCTAAACATTAAAAGAGATTTGAGGTAGCTTTTTGAAAATATATAATGTTTATATCCAGCAGTACCTATTGTATTCGGCAAATAGTAGAGACAGACAAATATCTGTTAAATTGAATTTCAGAAAAGACTCATGGCAAGGGCAGAAAATCTTCACTTTTGCCTTCTTACAATATTCTCACCTTTGAGAATCTTAATGTTCAGAGTGCTTTGGGATCCTTTATCAGTGGGCATTAATCACTGTTGTCTAAATGGTTCAAACTTTTAGATTAGAGCTTCAGTTATAAATGTAAATATAAAATAGCTGTTAAAAGTGAACATAACACTGGTATTTGATGTTTTATAGGAAAAGCAGTTTTTTCACAAGGTAAATGAGCGACTTTCCAAACCTAACATTTTCATTTTGAATAATCGTTGGGATGCCTCTGCATCAGAGCCAGAATATATGGAAGATGTAAGTTATTTTTTTTAAGTTTTGAAATATAGTAATGTACACTGTTATCTGAGAAAACAGTATACCTTATATAATAAAACATCATAAGCAGCTGTTCTCTTACTTGAGAAAAGACTGTAATTATAGAAACCCTGAAGTGGATACGTGATAGAAACCAGAATATTAAGCTACTTTGAAGGAAAAGTCTGTTATAGAAGTACCATGTAATCATTTTAGATCTTGAAACTTTGTTACAATTTTTTATTAAAGTATAACATACCAGAAAAGTATACAGATCATAAGTGTCCAACTCAAGAAGCAGAACATTCGTAGCACTTCAGAATGCACCCCCTCCATCCTCAGGCAGGGATGAGCACTTAACCATGACTTCTAATGCCCTTGATTAATTTTTTGGTTATTCAGCTTTATGTAATGGAATCATATATAGTATCTACTTTTGTGTCCAGTTTTCTTCTGCTCAACGTTACATTTGTGATATGTGTCCATACCTTTGTGCATAAAGTGCATTTCATTACTGTATATTTCAGCCTATAAATAACTACGTTTGAAATTTATTCATTCTGCTAGTGATGGCCATTTGGGTAAATTTCCTGAATGTAGCTGTTATGAATAATGCTTCTGTGCACGTTCTTATATATGTCTTCTTGTTGCACACAGGTTTATATTTCTGTTGGATATATACCAGTGGTTCTCAGTGTGAAGGATTGGGCATATTTGATCCCCAGGGAATATTTGGCCCTGTCTGAAGACTTTTTTTTTTTAATGTTTACTTTTGAAGGAGAGAGAGACAGAGCACAAGCAGAGGAGAGGCAGAGAGAGGGAGATACTGAATCTGAAGCAGGTTACAGGGTCTGAGCTGTCACAGGCACAGAGCCTGACGTGGGACTCAGACTTACATGCCATGAGGTCATGACATGAGCTGAAGTCGGATGCTTAACCGACTGAGCCACCCAGGCTCCCCTGAAGACATTTTTGGTTGTCACAGCTCAGGGACTGTGCTACTGGCATCTCCTACTGGAGGCTAGGGGTACTGTTAAAAGTCCCATAACACAGATCAGCCCCTCCCAACCAAAGATTTATCTGATTCAAAATGTCATTACTGCAGAGATCAGTAATCTGTGAGTATATATCTAGGAGTAGAATCAGTGGATTGCATGTAAATATGCTGTTTCAGTAAACACAGCCCGAGTTTTGTAAAGTGCTTGTACCAGCTTATACTCCCAAGCAGTTTGAGAGTTCCAGGTGATTTATATTCTTGCCAACACTTGGTATTTTTGTTTTTGTTTTAAATTTTAGTCATGGTGGTGATTTTAGAAACTGCTTTTTTTCTTTTTTTAAAAAAAATTTTTAATGTTTATTTTAGAGAGAGAGAGAAAAAAAAAACATGAGTGGGGAGGGATGGAGGAGCCACAGAATCTGAAGCGGGCTCCAGGCTCTGAGCTGTCAGCACAGAGCCCGATGCAGGGCTCGAACCCACGAGCTGTGAGATCATGACCTGAGCTGAAGTCAGATGCTCAACCCACTGAGCCACCCGGGCGCCCCTAGAAACTTCTTTTTAAATTTTTTTTTTTTCAACGTTTATTTATTTTGGGGGATGAGAGAGACAGAGCATGAACGAGGGGCAGAGAGAGAGGGGAGACACAGACCGAAACAGGCTCCAGGCTCTGAGCCATCCCGGCCTAGGGGAGTAATAAGTTCGACAAAGGCTCAACTCACGGACCGTGAGATCGTGACCTGGCTGAAGTCGGACGCTTAACCGACTGCGCCACCCAGGCGCCCCGAAACTTCTTTTTAAAAACAATAGTGTATCTGGTATTTGGTCTGTGATCTATAAAAAATATTTAATTTACTTGATATTTCTTTTTCTGATTTTAATCATAGTTTATGTTTATTTATAAAAATAGAAAATGCATAAAAAATTAAAATTTACACTGTCCCATCACTGTTCACGTGTTAGATTATTTGCTTTCATTCTTTTCCCCCACCCCCAGAATTGGAATTTTGTTTAATATGAAGCTTTATAGCCTTATTTATTTATTTTTGTTTCATGTTTGTTTAATTTTTAGAGATTGTGTGTGGGGGGGGGTGGATGCTGAGTGGTGAGGGGAGGCATAGAGAGAGAGGGGAGACAGAATCTGAAGCAGGCTCTACACTGTCAGCACAGAGCCTGATGCGGGGCTCAAAACCGTGAGATCATGCTGTGAGCCCAAAGTTGGGTGCTTAACCGACTGAGCCATCCAGGCGCCCCATATATCATGCTTTTATTAACTGTTGTATGATTATACTCTTTTCAAATTGGGGTTTCATTTAATCAGAGAATTAGGAAATATCCCCAGGTTCTTTTCCATTCCTATTTAGCTTATTTTATTTTAATGTTTATTTATTTTTGAGAGCGACACACACAGAGTGTGAGCAAGGGAGGGGCAGAGAGAGGGAGACACAGAATCTGAAGCAGGCTCCAAGCTCTGAGCTGTCAGCACAGAGCCCAACATGGGACTCGAACTCACCAACTATGCTATCATGACCTCAGCTGACGTTGGACACTAAACCAACTGAGCCACACAGGTGCCCCTTAGCTTAGTTTTTATTAAGTCTTAAGATAGAGATTTCTTATTGTAGCCACAATGCTAAAGGCTAGTACTAAACCCTAATTAGTTTCTAACCCTTAGTCCTATTTTTTTTTTATTTTTAATTTTTTTAAAGTTTTATTTAAGTAATCTCTATGCCTTCATGGGGCTTGAATTCATGACTCTGAGAGCAAGTGTTGCATGCTCTGCTGACTGAGCCAGCCAGATGCCCCTCGTAGTCCTAATTTTAATTACCCAAGTGCTAATCTTAATCCTAACATTGCAGCTCTAATCCCTATCTGATGCATTCTCCCCAAATTTCTCATTTTTTTAAGAAAAAGAGACCGTTTGTGTTCTGATTTCACAATAAAAATGTCTTCATTGTAGCAAATTAATTATACTTATATTCTGATATCAAACTTTAATAGCTTCATTGTAGAACATTTGGAAAATGAGCATAAGGAAGAAATAAAATGCCACCTGTGCCTGCATGCCACCTATTAATTTTCACATATGTATACACGTATCATTTTTTGTAGTGTAGTCATATACATCATTAATACAAAATTAAGAACTCTTTCCTATGGCAGTAAGTGTTAATATTTGTCTATAATATGTTTTGTAATGGCTGCATATTTGGTGGTCCATCAGAATTTTAAATGGTCAAGGAAGGATCTTTAAGAGAAAAAATCTGTCAGCAAGTTTAAAACTTCATTATTAGAATTTTTTGGATTTGTTAAGTATATGGAAACTATTACTATAATATCACTATGAACGGGGTTTAGTATTATAGGCCTGTAGCTGTCAGCTATATTGTTTAATTACTCGAATTATTTTAGTACCTTGTTTTCTCTAGGTACGTAGACAGCACATGGAAAGATGCCTGCATTTCTTGGTGGAGGAGCTTAAAGTTGTGGATCCTTTGGAGGCACAGAATCGTATCTTCTTTGTTTCTGCAAAGGAAGTTCTTACTGCTAGAAAGCACAAAGCACAGGGGATGCCAGAAGGTGGTATGTATTATTATGGATTGTCTTTCGAAATACAAGTATAGTTATTGAAACAGCATGCTAGAAATCTTAATGTTGCTGTATACTAGGTTTTAAACTCTTTACATAAATATTATAGGTGGGGCACTTGCTGAAGGATTCCAGGCAAGATTACAGGAGTTTCAGAATTTTGAACAAATTTTTGAGGTATGAATTTTGCAAATGTATTGACTAATACAAAACCCTAGCATTGGTTGGAGAATGATCATAACCTTCTGTTTTTAGTGTTTATCTTTGTCAAATAACCTTTGCTGTTATTTAGTATAGTTTCTGCCACAGCAAGTGAAACAAGTTTGAAGAAAGGAAGTCCCTGCAAAATGGATGATCCGTAAGAATTTAAAACTAAAGATTGTAATTTCTTATTTTTCTTATATATTTGTATTTAAATGAGAAACTATTTTCTAATATTGTATGTGTTGTGCAATGAGTGAAATTCTCTTTATTCAATAATTTGAGGCAAGATTAAATAAATGTAATTGCTGTTGGGGTGGATAATAGAGCAAAGTGAAGATCATCTTTTTTCTTCTGTACCATACAGTTTATAGACAGAGAATGTAGTTAATGTCACATTAAGATACAGGTCTTGTACCTTAGGAATCCTGTGGTAGGAACACCTGGGGCACATAACTAATGCGTTTGCAGCATTGGGGAGGAAGGATACTGTCTTAATATTTTGGTGTTTTATTCAAAGACATTAAAACTCATCCTACATTTGACTGAAAAGTTCTTTAGATGTTTATCTTCTAAACTCTTATTTAGGTGTTAATCTTCTAAACTTTTATTTAGCCCTATTTGATCCAGCTCTGCTTAGATTGCATATCCCCTTCTCACCCAGGAATGAACACAAAGACTTCAGAATTGAAAAAACTTGCATCTGCAGTTATTCTTCCGTATAAGTAATAACAGCTTTAATAGTAAGGATGTGAATGTTGAACGTGTTCGGCAGAATTTTTTTAACTAAACATTTATTTGCTCACTATCCCCCATCTTTAATTTGGTGAGTTGGAGACAGACTATTAAGTAGATGAAGACAAAATATTTAAGAAGGAAAGCCCACTAGTAGTTATCAGAGGCTCCTGGGTTATCAGCATATGTCCTCCCAAGCTAAGCTATAGATTACATGAAGTCCCAATCACTCAGACCATTGTTTATATTCTTTCCCTTTCGCTTTCACAAGAGATTCAGTGCTCTCCTTACTCTTTAGATCAGTTATTTCATCCATGGGGAAAATATTGGGAAGAGGATCTATTGTTCTCTTTTGTCTTACTGACCTTTTCTTTCTTCTGTGTGTATGTCATTTATTTCTCCTTTCAAATCATTCTGTTCTGTTATGCATTTGTAATGTTTTTCATATTGATTCCTGCTACCCAGACAGAATATCTCCTTGAAGAGGTGGGAATGAGAAGAATAAAAGCTGTGCTGTAGAGCACTAGTTCCTAAACCTTGGCTGATCATGAGAATCACATTAGGTGCCTTAGAGAACTGCAGACTACTGAATTATCCCAGAGACCGATCCAGTGGGGCTAGGATGGACCTAGGAATCCGTAAATATTCAAAGCTCCTCAAGGGATTGGAATAACCAGACACACCTAGGAATTTTTCTTTTTAATGTTTTTGGAAGAAACTTGGCAGTTTGTTATAATGGTTCACTGGGAATATAAAAATTATGTATGAAAAAACTATGCACGAACTTTTACATAAAGTAGAGAACATCAGACTTTAGACTTTGAAATTTTTGTTCAGTTAAAAGTATGATAGATTTAATATGAGAATCAGCTAGAAATTATTTGAACTTACGTAAAGAAATAATCAGATGGACAAAAAATTGTTTTGGTGGCCAAAGCATTTTTTGATGATTACATTGACAATTCTTTTCAGCTTTTTTCCCAGAGCTAACGTTTGTTACTTCTTAAATCAATTTTGGTAATTTATGACTTCTATAAATTGGTGTATTTCTGAGAATTTATAACTTTGTAGTATAAAATTGTTCATTTTTAAAACTTTTATATTCTTTGATACATACACATGTATATATATTTTTTCAAATATTTGTTTATTTTTGAGAGAGAGCACAAGCAGGGGAGGGGCAGAGAGAGAGAGACAGAATGCAAAGCAGTTTCCAGGCTCTGAGCTGTCAGCACAGAGCCGCCATGGGCTCGAACCCATGAACTGTGACATCGCGACCTGAGCAGAAGTCAGACATTTAATAGACTGAGCCACCCAGGCGCCCCAATGAGTATATATTCTAACTTTAATAGATTTGTCAGTGATTTAACTGCTCTGCTTTATCCTCCAACAACCTAGCCCCAGCCCTTGGTTAATTTTTCCATTCATAAACAGCATTTTTTGGTTTTTATTTAAGTTCTATATTAATCTTTAACCATAGTTTCCTTCTGCTTTTTTTATACTTTTTTTTTTTAAGTGGAATTGTTTTTTGCTTTTTGTTCTTTAGGAAAGAATTTAGGGCTGTGAATTTGTGATGTAACATTGGGTGTATTCCATGGATTTCAGTATCCAGTTTTCATTGTTTAGTGATTTTTTTTAGTTATACTTGTTGGTATTTCCTATTCATTACAGGAGTTGTTAGGAATCAGATGTTTTGAGGGGCACCTGGGTGTCTCAGTCGGTTAAGCGTCCGACTTCAACTCAGGTCACGATCTCACAGTCTGTGAGTTCGAGCCCCGCATCGGGTTCTGTGCTGACAGCTTGGAGCCTGGAGCCTGCTTCAGATTCTGTGTCTCCCTCTCTCTGCCCCTCCCCCATTCATGCTCTGTCTCTCTCTGTCTCAAAAATAAATAAACGTTAAAAAAAAAAAAAAATTTTAGGGGCGCCTGGGTGGCTCAGTCAGTTAAGCAGCCGACTTTGGCTCAGGTCATGATTTCACGGTTCGTGAGTTCGAGCCCCGCGTCAGGCTCTGTGCTGACAGCTCAGAGCCTGGAGCCTGTTTCAGATTCTGTGTCTCCCTCTCTCTGACCCTCCCCCGTTCATGCTCTGTCTCTCTCTGTCTCAAAAATAAATAAACGTTAAAAAAAAGATTTAAAAAAAAAAAAAAGAAAAAAGAAAAAAAATTTTTAATTAAAAAAAGAACCAGATGTTTTGATTCTTTTCATCTAAATTATGGTGATATCTTAATTTCTATGCATTGTGGTCACAGAATATGGCTTTTATATACATTTTCTCTTTGTTTTTGAATTCACTTTTTTTTTTGGAAGTCTTTAGAAAATTATTTTTGTGGAAAGAAAAATTTGTACCAAGTTAATCATTTTTAGCAATCTGATTCTTGCCACAGACTTTTTGAGATTCCCTTGTTTCCAAAGTATCAAAAAACCTTAGGAATTTTATTTAGAGTGTCAAGAAAATAAGGCCTGAAAATTAAACCACTTAAAATCAATCAAGGAAATCAGTGTTAATTCTGTCAGTATGTTTTCTTATTGTTTTAAACCTGTATTTGAGCAAGTGTATATTCTAAAGATGATTTAGACATCTGAATTTCTTTGTTCAAATATTTGGCCATTCTTAATAGTTTGGTTATAAGATAGAAAAGAGGTATGTATAAAATAACTCTTTTCCAAAATGTCAGTGAATTTATTGTAAAGGACATTTCTGGGACAACTGGTAAGATTTGAAAATTGACCGTGTGCTAGGTTGATAGTATTGACCCAATGATAATGTTCTGAACACAGTAATTATAATTATTTTGTGGTTGTATAGGAAAACGACCCAATTCTTTGGGACATATGTTAATATATTTAGTAGTAAAGCTGTGATGTCTGCAAAGAACAGTCAAATTGTTGAGTAGAAACAATATGTATAAAAATACATGTGTATTTCTATGTATAGACATATCTATATGGAGAAGGGGGAAAGGTAAACAAATGGGGCTGATTGTTAACACTTGGAATGTTTACTTGAAAGGCATAGTGTGTTATTAGTGTTTTTTCTTGTGTAGTCCTCTTAGTTAAAAGTATTTCAAAATAATAAATTGGGAGTGATGAATAGCATATTATTATGAGCATTTGCAGTCTGTTACAGGGATTTGACAAATTTGTATGTCCTAATGACAAATATTAATATTTACAAATGTGTAATTATAATTGACTACCAGCTGGCTTCTTAAGATGTTATTAGAAAGTTAGAAAACTATCTTAACTGATATTAGGATTATTGTTTTGGTTCCAGATCTTTAATAAGTTTTAAGATAATCTGCAGGATACTCTGACAAGATAGAATTTAAATTGGTTTGGTGTAGTATTTTAACCTTCTCCTTGGAAAATTAGTGTTCCTGATAAAGTAAGTCTGGAAACTGCTGCTTGCTGTAGATGTTCCCTATGGGGATTCATAAGCATATTAATGTAGCAAGGGTTCTGAGAAATAATACACTGAAAAACCCTGTATTTAAATTAGCATTTCCCACACTTCAGAATAGAATATTTCTTTTGCAGGTTGGCTTGGTATTTTTCTGATCAGGAGGAGCATCACTGTAGGATACTTCTTAATTGGAAGAAGATTTCCTGCTTTTTTCTTTATATTTATTGATGATTATATGTTTTCAAATCAAGGAATGACTTTTATATTGCCTAATAACTTTTGGAAATATTTTCTTTCTGGTCTAGCTCTAATACTGTGCTGTTATCTACAAATTTTGAGTCTTCATTGCTGATATCTAGATCTGCTTCATCGAGGAACATAGAATTTCTTTTAACCTTTTTTTCTTTTAAAAATATTTTTATGCTTTTATCAAAATTTTTGTGGCAGTTTGTCAATTTATGAGATACAGTTATTTAAAGAAAAAGCTTTGATTCAGTTAAAAATAAGCAGTTTATACTTTTAAACACTTAATATTGTGTAGTTATTGGTGGGTTCTCAAGGTGCAGGGG